ATAATAGTGCTTTTTCTTTTTGAAAAAAAATATAAAGTTCCAATTGTGTAAATGTTATTAAATATAAAAATAAAAATTTAAAAAAATTTAACTAAAAAAATTTTTTATAATGTGAATTTAATTAATTTTTTTAAATTGAATGACCGGTTGGTTTGGTTGGAAACGACAATATGCGTTTGACGAAGGTTAGGTAGCATTTACTTTATTTTCTACTTTATGTACACATTTTGTGATTTTCTTTAATTTATATTTAAATGCTTTATCACGTCTTAATCATTTGATTCAGTTTGATTGATTTGATTTGATTTGATTTGATTTGATTTGATTTGATCAAATATTTGATTCAATTTGATTCATTAAACAAAAGAAAAAAGTAAGAAAATTTATTAATGATGATTTAAAATACAATTAATTAATATTATTTATTTATACAAAAAAAATAAAAAATAAAAAATAAAAAAAAAATAATAAAAAAAAAAACAATAAGAAATTAAAACACCACAAATGAAAACCTCATTCTGGTAAAAAAAAGAAATTAAAAAAAAATAAAACCCTTATGATAAAAGTGAAAAAAAATTAAAACCTTGATAAAAAATAAAAAAATTAAAAAAAACAAAAAAATTAAACCCCTACTCCCCATCCCCTAGCTACTGGTTCGCTATCGGCACATTATGGGCTCTTCTTCGATAATGCTTTGTAACTAAAAAATGTAAAAGATACTTAATATAAATCTAAAAATTCCTAAAATTTTTTATTAAGAACTATCAATTAAACATAATAATTACCTGGCCTATCCCAAAACCTAGTTCAGAATAGATAAAATCGTTCCCCATTATACAACCACCTTTCCCCTCTTCTCGCACCATTACGCCAATCACAAAAATCCTAAAGGATACATATTAATTACTTATTAAGTTATATTTATCAACATATTATGATTTATTTATTTACTTTACCCCATAATTCCTCATATGCTAAAGTTAATAATTGAGCTTTTCGAAACATTCATTTCTAACATTTGCCATATCATTCATAAGGTTATTGACCTGCCCATTAGCCATATTAAACAAACCTTGATAATGTAAGGCCTCATTTGATACCCTTTGCATATGAGCACGAACAGTTGTTAATGTTATTCGTATACCATTCAAGGTATTTTTAGGGTCAAATGATCTATCTCCAGCCATATCCCTAAATTTAATATAAAAATTCGTTATATAAAAACTTTTTTAACAAAAATCAATCTGTTTTATTATAAAAATTAATTATTTTATTTAATAAATTCGGGACCACTCATGTAATTCACAATAACAAAAAATTCGGAACATAGAAATTCGTTATAAAGAGATTCAACTGTATATGTATAATGGATGATGGCAGAGATCTTGAACATAAGATGGGAAATTTACAACACTCATGTGTAATGGTCTGTTTCAAGAAATAAAATTTGCATTAATACGAGTATTTCAGGTAATTCTACTTACGTTCTGCCGTTGTCATCTTCTTGAAAAATGCTGCAAACATCATAACCTTCCCAAAGCCATTTTTCGCCTTTCAAAGGAAGAAAACGAAAACTAGATAATAATTCTTTGGGCTCTGGTTACCGAAATAGAAGATATTTAGAACGATAAGTCACGAAGATCAATCTGATAAAGAATTTACTAAATCATTAATAGGTGTTCATCTATTAATTCAACTGATTCCGATTTCGTCTGATTTTCAAGATAAACCCTTCCCCATTTTCATAGATTCGCTTGGATGATAGACTTAAAGTTACTAATTCGTACTCCATTATAATTGGCTAATTGTATTCCCGTGTCTAATATGGGAGTAAAATCACATTACGGATCATATGATTTACTATATCTCATGACTTGATTTTACTGGAAACGTTCTCATAGAATGTCTTTTCGCAGGGCCATGACAAGAGCTAGAAAAGTCATCAGAGAAGCAGCTATAAGAATGCTCCTCCTAATCATAAACCAACAAATACGACGAGAGCTATAGGTATCATCAGAGGAGCATGTTAGAAGAACAATGCTCATCCTAGCTAGTCATAGATGTTGTATCACTGAGTCTTTCACTAATGCTCGGTATGACTTTAAAAGGTTTTTGATTTATTTACCATTGTTAATTTGATAAATTGCGAAGCGATGCAATACGAAAATTTTTTTCACAAAGAAATTGGTGTAAGTTAATCGTAGCTACAAAGTTGTCATATTCTTAAATAAAACCACAGAATGAGTCTCAGCCGAAGTACCTTTTTTTTGTTAAATCTATCTATGGAGTTATTTTTATAAAAGAAATAAATAAACAACTTTAGAATGAAAAGAAAAACTTTAAATTTAAAAATGTATCATGTTTCTTACTTGGTTAACTTCAGATATTTCAAATATTTCAGACACTTTAGTTTTGTAAGAAAAAGCAAAGTTTTGTTGAAAGAAGATTCAGGCGAACAAGTTTAGGAAAATTTGGTTTTAAATCGAAACTAATTTAGGAATTCGTCAAAGGGTATAGCTTGAATCTTAGAAGATAGGCGAGTTGGGAAATTTATAAAAGCAAATGATATGACGCTTTTTAATTTAATTCGTAAGTAACGATAACCAGTAGAAAATCTAAATCTTTCGAGAATATTCTATGAACAGTTTTATAAAACGGATGAGATTAAACTTCCTTTTGCCCATTTTTCGTTGATATTTGAAAAATAAATAAATAAATGGCGACTGCCGAAGGATGTTATAAACAAGCTAATGATTCTTTCTTTGAAGACGATTATGACGAAGCTTTAAAGCTTTATAATGAAGCTATTGAATTAGACGCGACAAATGCTGAATATTTATTAAAGAGGTAAATATGAAATATATTTTAGACTAATAATCAAATATGATAATATTCATTTATTTAATCAACTTAAGATCGGCCACGTATCAAAAATTAAAAAAGAATAAAGAATCCCTGGATGATGCTGAAAAAGCGTTCAGTTTAGTTGAAGGAAAAGAAGAAGAAAAGACGGTTAAAGCAAAAGCTTTGTTGAGAAAAGGGTAAAGTCGTTATTTGTGTAAATGCGGGTTATAAAATATTTCATTTATTTATAAACTCAAATATTTTTAGTATTGCATTGTTTGAACTTGAGAATTATCAAAGTGCCAAGGATTCATTTGAATTTTCTAAGGAATTGAATCCAAATGACAAATTATTGGTCACTTGGTTAAGAAAAACTGAAACTGAATTGAAGAAAAGTAAGTAAAATTTTTCTTTAAAAAAAAAATCTCAATTTTTTTTTTCATTTCAATATTAATATTTATTTAATGGATAAAGTTGCGCCTAAACCAGAGATCACACCGCAAACCTCAACATCAGGTAACGATACGACCGCAACCACACAAGCCGCACCTAGTGGAGCAGCTGGTTTCTTATCTCAAAGTCGCGTAAGACACGAATGGTATCAAAATGAAAATTTTATTATCATCAGTATTTTTATAAAGAATGTCAAGAAGGAAACCGTTGATGTTTATATGGCAGATCGATCTGTATCAGTAACTGTGAAACTTCCTACCGGATCTGAATATTCGTTGGAACTTGATCCACTTGCACATGAAATAAATCCAAAGGAAAGTAAATATGAAGTTTTTTCAACAAAAATAGAAGTTAAATTGAAGAAAGCTTCTGTAGGTGTTAAATGGGGAGTCTTGGAAGGAGAAGATACTTTAGTTGGATCAATTGGCGGAGGGGATGGTAAATTATCTTATCCATCATCTGCAAAACATGCAAAGAATTGGGATGCATTAGAGAAGGAAATCAGTAAAGAACAGGATAAACCAGAAGGAGAGGCGGCTTTGAATGCTTTATTCCAACAATTATATAAAGATGCGGATGATGATACAAGAAAAGCCATGTTGAAGAGTTATACGGAAAGTAGTGGAACTTGTCTTAGCACAAATTGGGGCGAAGTTAGTAAAGGTAAAGTGGAAACGAAACCTCCGGAGGGAATGATTGCTAAAAAGGTAAAGAAAGTTATTAAAACTTTAATGGTTTTAATGAAATACCTAAAAGATATTATTTTTAAAAATTTTTTTTTTCTCTCCCTCATTTAGTATAATTCATGAAGGATTTTGAATAACATTATAATATTCATTATAATTCATAAATGTTAAATACGTGAACAAAAAGACATAATAAATATATAATTAAACTTGCGAATTAGCAAAAGAAAATATTTATTTTTTTATTTAAAATTTACAATAATTGGTAGATCTAGGAAAAGGTATCACATCTTTAATATTTTCTAACCCGGTAATATATAACAAAAATCTTTCAATTCCCATACCAAAACCGCCATGAGGAAAACTGCCAAACTTTCTCAAATCCAAATACCATTTATAATCATCCAAAGATAATCCTTTAATTAAGATATTATTTTCTAAAAGGGAATAACGTTCTTCTCTTAAACTACCACCAACCAATTCACCAATTTTAGGAAGTATTAAATCAGTACAAGCGACAGTCTTATTATCATCATTGGAACGCATATAAAAAGGTTTAATTTCTTTTGGATAATTAATAATGAATAAAGGAGAATTACAATAATTTGTGGATAAAAATTTCTCATGGAGAGATTGAATGGGAGAACCAAATGAAATATTAAAAGAATTTTTCGAAAGAATATTTATAGCATCATCATAAGACATTGTGATAAAAGGATTTTTTAAAGTATTTTCTAACCGATTTAATAAATTATCATCAATGAATTGATTAAAATATTCAAGATCATGATAAGAATTATTTAATAAATATTGTATAGTGAATTTAATTGAATTTTCAATAAAATCATTTAAATCCTTTAAAGAATCAATAAATGAGATTTCACTTTCTAACATCCAAAATTCTGATAAATGTTTTGAAGTCAAAGATTTCTCGGCTCTAAATATTGGACCGATTGAATACACGCGTGAAATGGAAGAAGCAATTGATTCTGCATGTAATTGACCTGATACTGTTAAATATACTGGTTTACCAAAGAAATCTGTAGAGTTTACCGTTGTAAGTTTAAACGCTTCACCACCACCTTCACAATCTGATGTTGTTATAATTGGAGTATGAACTTGTATAAATTCATTATTCTTTTTGTAAAAAAAAAAAGGAAAGTTTTTTAATTAATTTAATTCTTTTTTAAAAAAAGAAAAAAGAAAGAATAAGAAAAGGTACCTGAAAGAAATTTTGAAAACCTAATATAGTAGAATTTCTTACACGTAAAATAGCACTAAAAATATTTGTTTTAAAACGTAAATGAGTCATATCACGAAGAAACTCCATTGAATGAGCTTTCTTTTGTAATGGATAAGTCTAAATAAAAGTAGTAAGTAAATAAATAAGTATTTTTAATTTGAAAACAAATAATCATTCATATCAACGTATTAAGGTGCTTACGGAATCACATTCGCCTAAAATTTCAACTTTATTAACTTTCACTTCTTTATTTTGTTTCTTTCCAATACTATCAACTATTATACCATGTAATCTAACACAAGTACCGGTGGTTAACCTAAAAGTAAAAAGATTTTTTATAAACATTTACAAAAAAAAAAAATATTAATGTATTAAAGAATTTTTTTTTTTTTGATATCAAACTTTTTAGCGTCTTCATTTGAGAGTATAGCTTGTAAACCTTTTACACTTGAACCGTCGTTAATAGAAGCAAAAGAAACATTTTTCTGTATCCTTACAGAACGTATCCAACCATTTACTTGTATTTCTACACCTGAAGGAGTATATGATATTATATTCTTTATTGTTTTTGTTGGTAATATATTTGATATTAAATCATTATTTGAATAGAATCGTTCATGATTATTACGAAATATTTTTAATTTATTCGGATTCCATTTGATAAAAGAAAACATCATTTTGTGAAAAAATTTGCTGATAATGATAATCGGAAATTAGGAATAAATTACGGCGTTCAATCAACTAATTAAACAAAAACTATATATGGGTTGTGATCTAAGAAAATCAAGTTCTGAGAAATTTTTGTCTAAATGTAAAATGCAATTAAAATCTCAATTTTGATAAAAAATTCTCAGAACTTGTCATAATAACTTTATATTTTATAAAGGTTTAACCTTACTAGGAGGAGAAAGGTTTTTTTTTACAGAATTTTCATATAATTTCATTTATAATTAAAGTTCTTTTACCATTTTTTACTGGATCATCTTTAGATATTGTTATCATTCATTCGTTTAAATTACTTTTAACAAATAAACTATTAACCAATAACGCTTGTTTAAAATCTATAAAATCTTTTAGATTAATTTCATATTTAGACGCTCCTTTAGTTTTACCTCAAGATATTGAAATTATTTTGTAACGCTACTACGTACCAAATTATATATAGTTAGAAATCGATGTTAAAAGATCGGTCTAAGAATCGCAATCTCTCCCCCCAATCGAGATCATATCTACAATCATTTTCTCAGCGTCATTTTCTCCAAGAATTTTATGATTTGTGCGAATTCTTTATTAACCACCAAATTACCAATATCTTGTTAACCTCATTTTCTTCTCAAAAAAAAAAAAAAAAAATGTTTCTTCACCTTTGAAAGAACTTTACGAATATTTAAAACAAAGACAGAAAGGTAATATTTTTTTTATATGGGTGATGAGAAATTGTTTAATAAATAGTAAATTTATTGAGTTTTCAATAAACCTTTTGCCAAAGCAATTTCAGCATTTAAAATACCGCTCCCAGCGGCACCTAAAATAGTGTTATGTACTAGTAAAGTAAATTTAATATCAAACACATTACACTTTCTAACTCTACCAATGGTAACGCTATAACCGTTACCATTATTTCTATCTAACCTAGGTTGAGGTCTATCATCATCATGTCGTACAATGATGCATTTATTCGGAGCAGAATGACAACCAATTTGTTGAGCCTCGCTCACATAAGAATCCAGTACATTGACGATTTCTTGTGGGGTGGGAGAAGGTTGATTTTTAAATTTAATAGAAACACATTCGGTATGACCATCAATCACGGGTACTCTATTACAAGTAGCAGAAATATTTGTAGAATCAAGCAATTTACATTCCGTTTGATCCGAATTTAAATCTCCTAAAATTTTTAAGGTCTCGTATTCCATCTTTTCTTCCTCTCCACTGATAAATGGTATCACATTATCAAATATATCCAATGATGATACTCCCGGATATCCCGCCCCTGATATCGCTTGCATCGTTTGTACAATAATCGTTTCTAATGGTCCAAATGCTTCCTGTAATGGTTTTAAAGCTACTACAAGTCCCGTGGTAGAACAGTTTGAATTTGTTACTAAAAACCCTTTTTTAAGAGTGTGAATGGATCTTTGATGCGGTATCAGATTAAAATGTGACGGATTTACTGTTGGAACGATTAAAGGAACCATAGGATCTTTTCGATAATTCTTTGCGTTAGAAAAAACCACCAAATCTGCTTTTAAAAATTCCATTTCTATATAACGAAGAAAAAAAAAAATTTTTTTTTTCTACTTGAATTTATTTCAAAAAAAAAAAATGAATAACATACAAACTTACCAATTTCACCGGCAACATCTGAATCCAAACCGGAAAATATTACATCACAATCTCCAAATAATTTAGCTTTGCACTCTTTAACAATCATATTTTTAACTTGTTCAGGTATATCGCCTGTTATTTTCCATTTTGTAGCTTCAGAATATTTTTTACCGGCTGATCGTGAAGAAGCTCCAACGGAATGAATGATAAATTGTGGATGTTTTGATAATAATTCTATAAAACGTTGTCCCACTGTTCCGGTCGCCCCTAATATGCCAGTTTTAACTTTCATCCTTTTTTTTTTTAAAGTTTTTTTTTTTTAAATTTTTTTGATTATAAATGCAATCCATCTTTGTGGTACAAATGTTCGGATTAAAATGGGTCATGGACAAACAAAATGTAAAATTTTTATTTTAATGTTTTATATAATCTGAATATACTTATTATGATAATCTATATTTTTTAAAACATAAAAATCACAAGTTACAGTTTCGGGTGTAAGAGGTTGAACATAAATTTTCTTTTTACAAAAATTTTAAGTGTAGATATGATGGCAAGTCATAATTGATTTTTCGAATTATATAATTCTGGCTCAACATGCATAATTTAACATATTTTTACAAATTCAAATGTCCAATAGAATTCTAGGAATATTTTTATATATAAAAAAAAAATGTTGTTACGAAATTCATCTTTACATATTATTATTAAGCACAAAAAATTTTTTATTCCTTCTTTATCTCATGTTAGTAAATATATAACAATAAATAAAATGTTAAAAACAACCGGAAAGGAATATCTTGAACCTACAATGACAGAAGATGCTACAAATGTTCCCTCTTCTGATAATACCAAACTTATAAAGGATTGGTCTAGTGTTAGAGATATTCGTCAAGAGACGAATACTTTTGGTACTCGTTTATTGGAAAATAAAGAGGATGTATGGCATCATAATGCTTGGTAAGAGGCAAACGAATAAACTGTATTTAGATCAAAAAACGAATGAAAATTATATATATGATAATTAAAAAAGGGATCATGTTGAATGGAATGAAGAACAAGAAATAGCCGCTAAACAAAAGGTATCATTACAATCAAATAATCCAATGAAATTAGAAGACCGACGTAAGCTAAAAGAATGGACCTTTTTTTATTTTTCATATATTTTATTTTTTTTTTATTTTTATTTTTTTCTACTTTTAATATAAATTAGAAATTTTTTTAAAAAATCCATCGGAATATTGGAATACGTTTTATAAACACAATGAGAACAAATTTTTTAAGGATCGCCAATGGCTAAAAATCGAATTTCCCGAATTACATCACACAACAAATAATGAAGTAAGTTTAATTCTCTCTTGATAATTAAATATATATATCAATCTTTTTGTTCATTAATTATTATTGATTTAAAAGAGTGGAAATCAAAAGATTTTTGAAATAGGATGTGGAGCGGGGAATACAATGTTTCCTTTACTATCTGTTAATAAAAATCCAAATTTATTTATTTATGCTTGTGATTTTGCAGAAAATGCAGTTCAGGTGGTAAAAGTTAAGTGATTACATATTATATATAATTATGTTACATGATTTATAAAGTTTAAAACAAATTTTATTCAACTTCTTTTATAAACAAAATTAGAATAACAAAGAATATGATCCAAAACATTGCAAAGCATTTGTCTGGGATTTGACAAATAAAGGAATTCCAATTGAATATATTGAACCTAATAGTTTAGATATTGTTGTATTGATATTTGTAATGTCTGCAATATGTCCTAATGATTGGATCCAAGTGGTTGATAATGTTTATAATATGCTTAAGCCTGGTGGTCTTGTTCTGTTTAGAGGTATTTATCTTATTTATTAATATTACTCATAATATTTAGGTATTTCGGTTAAAATCTTTGTTTTTTTAGATTATGGTAAATATGATATGGTTCAATTAAGATTCAAAGAAGGTCGTATGTTATCTGATAATTTTTATGTTCGTGGAGATGGTACAAGAGTTTATTTTTTTACCTCAGGTTGGTACATAATATGTGTACGTTTTATATGTTTAATTGACAATCATGTTCTAATATTTTGAAATCCTTAAAAGATGAAATTGAAAAAATTTGGGGTTCAAAATTTTCAATTGAACAAAATGCCGTGGATCGTCGATTAATTGTAAATAGACATCGTAAATTACAAATGTATAGAATATGGTTACAAGGAAAATTTAGAAAATTATCCCCTTTATAACATTTTATTTATTACTTTTAAGGGAGATAGACATAAGCTGAAGCGTAACTAACACTATTTTCTCCCTCATGCTTTACTTGATTAGACTGTGAATAATGAATAAATTTAATTCTAGGTTGTTCAATGTCATAACTTTTTTGTAATGTTTCAATTGCACTTAAAAGTATTCCAACGGGATGCCTTCCACATATTGTATTCTTTGTTTTTGAAAGGTATGAGATATACCCTTTATGATCTATATTTTCAATAAAATCCATTCCTTCCCTATCAAGTTTTTCGATGGATTTATATATAGGAATTGGTAAAGTCTTATTAGATACGCGTGAAAGATAAGTACTATTCCCTGGCGATGCCGAATAATATGTGTATGAAAATCGAGGTCCCCTAATTTTAATTAAAGAAATATTTAAAATATCATTTCATTTAATTTAAATAAAAAAAAAATGAATTTACCAGTGACAAAAATCCGTCGAAATGATAAACAGATTAGAAGGATCAGCCAGGTATGGAGCAAATAACTCTCCATAAAAGGTTTCTTTGGTCGAATTCAAAGATCCAACCATAATAGGAACAATCTTAATTGAATCAACCTTACTAAAATATTTATTTTTTTTTTTTTAAAAAAAAAAAAAAATAAAAAAAAAATAAATAAATAAATAAAAATCAAATAATATTAAAATGATTAAAATATACGAAGACGAACATAAAACCTTTCCAAAATTTTATAAGTATATGGTAAATGCATTTCAATACTATGCTCTTCCTCTTCAACATCTCGAGACACTGATATAAATTCCCCGGTTTTTTTCAATTCTTCGATAACTGAAAAAAAAATTAAATTCAATTAGCATATTTTATTAAAATAGAAATACAGTATATAAATATATATGTAAAGGAAGAAATCTTTTTAACAATTTACTTTCAGTGTCCAACTTCAAATTTCCTAAAGGTGTTTCATATTGGGTGCATTGAGAAAGCGCGCATTTGGTAAGATTAAAATGATGCGACGGTCCAAATATGAAAACGCGTTTCCTAAATTAAAAGATCAATATTAGATTGAAAGAAAGTTTTGTTTGCAATATTAAAATAAAATTGCTTACACAAAATCGGGATTAATGCTCTTATAAGCGAATGCTGCGGCTTGTCCGCTCCACATATATCCTGCATGTCTAAAATTCATGATTTCAAATTTTTTTTTTTTTTTTTTTTTTTAAAAAAAAAGTAGTGATCCTTTTATCATTTTTAATAAAAATCTAAAAAAAAACCTTACGGAGCAATAATAGCTCTAGCTCCAGGTACAGGAATAGGGACATCTTCTGCCTTTTCTGGAACGTTATCTAACCACTGAGTAAGTTCCTCATTTAAACGAGGTCCTTTTATAATAATTAATAACGTAAATGGTAATAAAAATTCCGCTCAAAAAAAAATCGAGTTTTTAATAACCGAAAGAAAGACGGTTGTTTCCAATTATATAAATATATATATACATACATACATATATATATGTTTTTACCTTGCTCAGTGTACCAAGAACCAGCGTGACAAGCCTTTCTACTCATTTGAAAAATTGGAAGTAAAGTTGAATTATTTAAACAAAAAAGAAGCTTTGTATCAATTTGCTTAACCTTTTATAAAGAAAGTATATTATTTTTGAGCCGATTGAACTAACCAATTTCGGTTAGTTTAGTTGCTAAATAAAGTTTTAAACTTTTCCGACATTTTTTAAGATGTGCTTACATAACTAAAAAAAGAATTTTTGCCAAATTTTATTTCCGCTAACCTAAATCTGGTTAGATTGAGAATTGCTCTTTTTTTAGTTTCTTTTTTATTAGAATTCACTGCAAGCCGCATCGAAAAAAAATTTAGATGCGTGCATGTTCACACCTCAATGAATATTTGTTAGTGGTCGTCGTCACATTCTTTCATAATAATTCTCGGAATTTTCTTTGGAGAAATAAATTAGTGTAGTAAGTAAGCTCTTAATGTTCATTAATAAAACAACTTACGTGCGTTGATAGATTTTTGTGTGACTCGATCAGAAATGTATAATGCGTTTAATCCTTATTATTTATGACGTCTGAAAAATAAAGATAGAATTGAACAGCCCTAGTCCGAAGATATTATGTAACCTATTAGCCGTTATAAAATTCTCATTTTCAAGGTTAGATCTTAGGCAAAATTATTTTATTTATAGATTAATTTATCTTTTTTTTTATCCTTTTTTTTTTTGGATGAATGGTATTGTAAAATATGAAATGCGAGTCTCATATTAAAAAACTTTTCATGTCTAATATTTAAAAGAGTGCATTCATGCCTTTAAGATTTGAACCACAAGTAACTCATTTGAAGTCAAACAAAAACTTCCAATAAAATTACTTGCGATTTCTCATCGATTCAAATGCTTTGGCACGAAGTTGTTCGAGTTGTTCAAGATCGGAATTAGATTTCTAATCAACAATGAAGAAACGACTTGTTTATTGATTTTCTTGTCTACAAAAATTTATTTTGCCAAATGTACCTTTTTGCTTTCCACGCTTTCTTCTTCATCCTCATCATCATTCCACTTGGATTTGAAATATGGACCATCTACTACTCTTTTACGAGGGGGCGAACTTGGTGCAGAATTATTATTATCCGCTACTACTTCAACAGTTCTTTTCTTTAAATCATCATCTGTAACAACATCTTTACGATTATTTTTTTTTGGAGATAAAACGTGACTATTTCTATGTATAGATTCTTTTGAATCCTTAGATAATCGCCGCCGCTTATTCTGTTCTCTACTTCTACTACGAGTTCTCTGACGTTGTCTACGTTCTTCCTGCCTTCGCCTTTCTTTACTTCTACTTCTACTACGCCTATTATTTTTATGTCTTCGATGTTCCCTACTATGATCTCTACCCCGATTCCTACTATGATCCCTACTTCTACTTTTACTCCTCCTGTGGGAACGTCGTCGTCTGTCTTCTTCACTATTACTACGACTATATTTCCGTGGTGAACTTCTGCGAGGACGTCTAATTTCTTCTCTACTTCTACTACGGTGACGGCTAGATCGGTGTTCACGTTCCTATAAAGATTTGTTTGTAAGAAATGATTGGCCATGAAACGATAGAAATACAAATTTGTTCGTTTCTTTTTTTTTTTCCTTAATTAATTACTGTGTTTAATTCAACTTGTTTAACAAGCATACCTTTCTTTCCCGTTCTTCCATTCGCTCCCTTTCTCTAGTATCTCGCAATCTTATCCTTTCCTCCTCCTCTTTTTCACGTCTTTTTCGAATTTCCAAAAGAATTCGTTCATCTTCTTCCTATTTAATAGGAATTAAATTATAATAATATTTTTATTATTAATAATTCAATGTAAATATAATAATAAAGCTTTACATCTAAAAAAGAAATGTTAAAATTCACCTGTTTCTTACGAATTTGTTCCATTTTTTGTTCAAGAAAAATTGCTGGAATACCATTTTCACCTTCCTGAGCTGATAAAAGTAATTGCCACAATTCTGTAACAAAAATTGGCGCTTCTGTTTCCAAGAAGCCTGTAAGATTAATTTGCATCATCCTTGGATCCAAATCCTAATATCAAAGGTCAATTAATTTATGAAATAAAAAAAAACTGATCATGGAGAAAATGAACAAAACTACTAACTGGTTCTTCTAATAATCCAAACACATAATTGACGACTACTTCATCTTCACCACCCAATAACTCTACGATTTTTTGTGCGACCCACGGCCTGATAACGTTTAAATTCACTTTTTTCAAGTCAACCTAACAATCGAATGCGACAGGAGATAAAAAGAAGGTTGAAAATAATTTGAGCGAATTGTGAAAATAATAATCAAGACAAATTTTGTGCATTTATCCATTACCACTTTCTCTCTATCAAAGAAAGGACGAAAAGAAGTACTGCCAAATATAAAAATAACAGGATACCAATAAAACAAACAAATGATTTTTTTTTCTGGAGAATTAAAAACTTAAATTCACAGAAATAAAAAAAATTGAAAATCTATATTGCCTTCAATGGCGATTGATTTTGAAATACGGCCAGAAACAGCTGCTGATACAAATGCTTTCAACAAAGAACTGCCTTCGCCTTACGAGTTTGTACAGGTAGCATAGAATCAAAAAGTAAACTAAAAATTTTGTTTTTTTTTATATTGGATATGATCATTAGAAAAATGTCTAGGGAAAAACTTGGCCGAATAGGATAACCATTCAATGAGGTTCGACTTATATATCTCAAAGCGTTGAAGAGCAAATTGTCCAACAACAGGTTAAAAAGGGTGTAGAATGTAGACATAAATTACAGAGAATAAAAAAAATTAAATAATTGAAATTACCTTTAAATTGAACTCTGAAGGAAAATTCATACTCTTTAATAATTTTTTCTGTTTATCAGAAAACCGGCTGTCTTGTTCTAAACTCGTACCCTATTTAGATCGCAAAAAAAAGTAAAATAAAAATAGCTGAAGTAACTTCAGATAGATCGGACAGCACCATACACATTCTAACCTTGAAAAAGCCTCCATCTCCCATTTTAATAAAAATTAGTATAAAGATTTATTAATTTCAAATTTTTAAGAGAAAAGTCTGAAATCAAATGATCTACTGTACTTACTGTACTGTACTACAAGATATTTTTTTGATGTCATCATACGAGCAATATATGATTGGTTGAGATAAATTGCATTGCTAACGCTTTATAATATAGAGATACCGGACTCCATCCCGACACCCAAGGAAGGTGCGGAAAAATACAATGAATAAATAGGCCTTACAATGATATATATATGAATTGTTTTGAGTATTTTTTATTCTAACACTTCTAATACTTCTAATTATCACTTCTACTATATGGATACATTGTATTATTAAGTAAATTATTTATTTCGTCTCCAAATCTAAGTAGTTTAGCTATGCACTATGAATATTCGCCCCGTATCCAAGAACTTTATTGTGTTCAACACGTATAGCATATAAATGTTATTAAGTGTAATTGTGATAAAAGCTTCAGAATATTGAAATGTAATCTAGGTTGAAGAAAATCCTTTTTAACATCATTATAATAAAGTATGTGTATGGATAAACTTAAAATGAGGATTGTCTCTTTAGATAGCATTGAATCATGTGTTCTGATGACTTTCACTTGGACTAAAGCCTTGATTTGCCTTAAATGTATAGGTTGATAATTGTGACTGGTATTATTTTTTAAATATGCCAAAAGTACGATTACCTGTATGATCTCTTAAAGTAAGAACTTTCTTGGTTGAATGAACATCACCAATCTGTCCTCCTACTTTTTGTGAACCTTTCTTTTCTTGAAGATCTTGCAACGTGCTTTCTGATCAATGTTTTGGCTAGATGATGAAATAAAAGTTTAATTAATTAAATCTAATTAATTAAAAATATGCATCATTGGAAAGGAACTTCTTACGTAAATCAATTAGTGCAAAACCATTGATTCATCTTTCAGTGTTTACTGCGATACTGCTCCATAACATTAGAGATGTCCGCCGATTTTGTTACTAAAGTTTCCACTTGTGAAAGTGACTAATACAAAAAAAAATTAAACCTTTACCATTTAATTGAAACCCCCCTTTTTTTACCAGAGGAGGAAGTCGACTGCGTTTCCTTGATTCTATCTAGTTGGCAGATTCATTACGTGCCCTTTTTAGGGTGTTAACCTGTTCTATATCTTCCGTCGACGACGAAGAATTTGGAAAATAATCGTTGTCAATATCAACCGAATTTTTCCTTACCAAAGGTATCATCATTAAACAAAGAATGCATCGAAATAGGTTTATATAACTCAGGTATGGAGAAATATGTAGACTTTATGAAGTGCTTTTGACTTTCCTCGTTAGGTAAAACTGGAACCATGGAAGAAGCATGTCGTCATTCCAATGGAGACACCTTATCATCGATCGTTGATAAATTTTATTAGATATAATAGCGGAATAAATAAGTTCTTGAACAGTTCTATATTTTAATCTATGCTATGATCTCCAGATTTAATAACTGGTGGGTCTTGAAGAACTGAAAAACTTCCAAACATAATAGTATCAAATGGTTGTTGAAATTGACCTCGATCTTCATCTGGCCTTTTGGCAACTGTAGCGATTATACCAGCTTCATCGATTTGTTTTGAATAATTGTTATTCCATCGATTTGGATAAGGTTTTGATGGTAATGCAAGTCTTTTTTTTTTAGGGTTATCATCCTTATCTTTTTCTAATTCATCATTTGAAGCTTTTTTCCAATTACTGTTTTTCCTTTGTTGCCATTTTGATGTTCTCTTATGATAAGGTTTACGGTTAAAAGTTTTCTTTGGTTGAGGATTTCTTTCTTCCGCAGCTTGATCTGCAAGTTGCACTCTTTTTGATTTGAATTTCTTTGATGGCAACTGGATAACTAAGGTTCTGGTTACAGTACGTGCCTATGAAATAAAGTGAAAGAGAGAGTAAGTAATACAAAATGTTTTTTTTTTTGATAAATTTATATTATTAATAACAAACTATTAAGCTATAAGCTTTTTTAGTCAGACTCTTATTTACAAAGTTATCTTATGTAACTTTTGATTTCATCACTTTTTATAAATTAAAATAAAATTGACCACGTTAAAGAAAAAGATAATTGATTTATTTAGTTAATGTCCAAAATTTACAGGTATATATACAAAATCAAAACACTCAGAATAAACTTAACTACGAATAATCTACACAAAGAAAACAAAAAAAAATTAAAACAAATTGAACTGGAAAATATAATAGTACTTGTTCGCTACTAGGATATACTAGTACCCAGGTTGCACGACGGGGACGTCAGTACTAATCGCAACCCAAAAAATGGAGCTCTCATCTACCAAGCAAAGTTCCTCTATCTAAACTCAACGATGCAAGGAGAGAGTGCTTTTGGGCAGGGTTGGGAATTTTGTATGTACTAGATTATTAAATGTACTAACTATACTAACGTACTAATCATTGTACTAATATTGTACTTTCCAACCCTGCCTTTAGTTTCTATCTAATTTTTTTTTATTTTTTATTAGCCTCCAAGATATTCCTTCTTGGGCGGTTTGTTTTCCCAGTTCTGTCACTTTCTGGGCACCCAGTTATCCGTTCTGGAAGTTTGGTTACCAGTTTATTCTGGTGAAGCTCTTCGACCATAAAGGAAGGTACATAACCAATTCCTCATCCAGAACCAATAGACCTTTTACATGCTGTTTTTCAAAGAACTTCTGCGAAAAAAAAAAGTTTATATACATGGGAAATAAAAGGTTGTTGTTTTTTATTCATGTGTGAAGAGGTGTCCAGGATTTCATGGTGTGATGACCTACAAAGTGTGGTGTGATTTAGTTAAAAAATGTGATTTGGTGCGATCTTAATGCCGGTCAGAATTAACATAATTTCAGCCAAAATTAACATTTATTATATATACTACGCAACCAAATTTATATTTATTGAAACAATACATTTAATTTTCATTAATCTGTAATTAATAAATCATAATTAATGTTACCACCCAAATTAAAGTAAAGAAAATTAAGTATCTGAATGTTTTCTTCGTTAAGTGCAACCCTAAAATATTTTTATAACTAGAAAAACTATGTTTAACACCCACTCCAGATACTGGTAACCAAATATATACTAAAGCTAATGCTGGTAATAAATGTGTTTTGTTTTGCCAATATATATCTAGATCTACTAATTCCTCAA